GAAGTACACTCCTAGAAGCGATAAACAGAAACAAACATTTGCAACGAGATATTACAGGGAATGCTTTGAAAAGGAAGTCACACATACACACCCCCACCCACAAAAGAAAGAAAGAGAGAAAGAAAAGATAAATCACTCCACTAAGTTCTTTCCTAATGACAGCAGCCCCAGCTTGGGATGTGAACCTTAACAGCTGTGGCATAGCCTCATCCCTCCCTGTGCAGCAAAGGGTGGGCTTTAACTGCGCTCTGGAGAGAAGCAGTACCAGGGTGGGAGCTAGGAGTGTGTGCTTGCCTTGCTGTTGGCAGCCCACCTGGAACACAGGCAGCACCTGCAAATTCCTCCACAGTGAGGGGTCAAGAAAGAGGATGTGGAGGCCCTTTGAAGCTAGATGGGTGTCTTCAGGGAACTCCTTAAGGACTAAATGCACGCTTCTATTTTGTGCATGAATCCTGGGTCCCTCTGACCTAAAGGCAGCCCTAGCTCCCAGCAGGCTGCAGAGGGAGTGGACTAGGAGTGTTGGTATGCTCACAACTCCAACACTGGCTCCCTAGTACTAGCAGACTGTCAGCAGGAAGACAGCTCTCTCGCTCTCTCTGATGCTCTCTCTGACTGTGTTTGCAGAGACAGATTACATGAGTTTCTGTTCCCACTCAACTTCTAATCTATTCAACAATCCCTGTGCATCTGTTACCTTCTTCCCTCGCAGGGTAAGATTTGCAATATGTCCAGGCTGGTTTGTCCTTTCAGGTCCGGGAACTTTGTCGACATTAACCAACAAAGCAGCTGCTTTGAGTAGATTCTGGTTCATGGCAACCTCATGTGTGTCGAATAGAGTGGTTCTGTTGCTGTGCAGTTAGTTCCCTTTCCTAAGCAGTTAGTAAAGCTCACCTCTCTCAGTCTCTTGGATTAGTGAGTGCAGTGCTTAAGTGTCTGGTCCTCCTCTCCCATCCCCCTCCAGAATCCAGGAACTCTTACAAACATTACAACATCATTGAAAGGATGGACAACAGAAAAGTGGGTGAAGGGAGATGTCGGACAGGGCAAGATATGACAAAATAATAATTTATAAATTATAAGGGTTCATGAGGGAGGGGGGAGCAGGGAGGGAGGGGAAAATTGAGGACCTGATGCCAGGGCCTTAAGTGGAGAGCAAATATTTTGAGAATGATGAGGGCAATGAATGTACAAATGTACTTTATACAATTGATGTGTGTATGGATTGTGATAAGAGTTGTATGAGCCCCTAATAAAATGATTTTAAAAAATTAAAAAAAAAAAGAAAGGATCCCCCTTACTCCTGGGCACAAATTTTTTCCACAGTAGAAGTTTACATGTTTTGGTGGGTGCTTACATTAATACACAAATACGCACACATCTAGTGGTTTTTTTAAATTCACACAAAATGTTAACATGTAAAGGAAAGGTCTTTTTCACTTTGATTTATACACAAAACATTCTTTAGAATGCTTTTCAAAACATTACCTGCAATCCACCTCATTGTTTTTAGCAGTTTCACAGTCTCCTACTGTGTGACCATATCTCTATTCATTTAGACAGTCCTGCAGTGGTAGACACTTACCATTAGGGTCAAACTGTTGTCTTTGTTTATCTGTATACTCTGGGCACATCTGTATGGTAAATTCCTAGCGAGATCAATTAAGTTGAGATTTTAATGTTGGTAGAAATTGCCAAATTTCCCTCTGCATGGAGTGAACTCCTGGACCCTGTCACCAATCCTGTGTCTCAGTCAGTAGTTACAGTAAGTCACACACACAAACGAGCCAGCGCCTCCCAAAGGAAGTTCCTTCAAGTTGAACATCAACATTTTTCTCCGTAATATAAACATTTTTATGAAGACTTTTTGGCTTAATCTAAAGGCTTAAGTCATGAGTGGGTTTCATAAACAAAAACAGTGTCCTTGTCACTAATTAGGAAAAACATAAACAGGAATATAACAGAAAGAGATACTGGAATTTTGAAACCAGACCATAAAAGTAGACACTACTTTTGCTCCCTGGCGTGGTTTTGCTTCCCCACAACACTTACTGAAGGATTATTGCAGGGTAGGCCCTCAAATTTGCTCTTTCTACATCTTTTTGTTTGTCATTAATTAGTTTTATTGCCCAAGGCAAATGCAACTCTTTGTTATGTGGTGTTTTGAGCAATTACAGCAGCGCTTTTAGATGGACATAGTCATGTGTTTTGTTTTATTAACTGCAATAATAATTCCAGGATGATCCTGTAGAAATCCCAATGGAGAGACTAATTACAAAGCAACATGTGTATCATTGGAGAGTTCTGCACTGTTGGGATTTCTTTTGTGTCCCCCCCCCCCCACTATCTCAGGAATATTAGCAAAACCAAATTATAACAGAAAACTGCAAAGATGAGAAATGTAGATACAAAGAACCATCTAGTTCAAACATTCAAAATAATCTGAAGTGCCTCTGCAGCCCTGGAACTGTACATGGAGTGGACATGTTAATTTGTCTAAATGACACCCTCAGGTTACTTTCAGAGCAGACAACATGGGATGCACGCTCACAATCTCTTCAGTCTGACTTGACATGGCAAGTACTGAATTCAGATAATTGAGACTTCTTTAACACATCCCCAAAGCTTAGAAAAAGTATGTAGTTGCTGCTTTTGTCACTGTGAATTCAATAGAATACCTGTGGGCCTCTGAAGCTAGCGCTTACTCTAGAAGCATGTGTAATTGGGTTTGTGTTGACAGCATATTCCTGAACAGGTCTATAAATTGTTCTTTCTAGCACTCGCGGATGAACAGCATGATCCCTTTGTTATATCCCTAAGAATATATCAAATTCAAGTGCTAAATTGCTTTCAAATGCACTCAAATAAACACTTCCTTGGATAGGGTGAGATATTGAGAAAGAGACTATTTCTGTCAGCAACTCATACTTCATTTATGACTGGATAGGTAAGTCTGCAAATGGTTGGGTGTTTATCATCCTAGGCTGAATTCACTGAAGCAACTGGTCATTCAGAAAATATAAGCCTGGTGTGGATAGAGAACCCCGCATGTGCTGCAAGAGCATGTCTTTTGGAATAGGCCATTTGTGTCCAATTTAGATCATGCTAGACTTTGGTTTCAGCTTCAGTTTTGGACCAAATCTGCCATTATCCCTTTGACTTTGTTCTTATCTTTGGTAACCAAAGAGTGAAAACCCTTCTTCATTTCAGGCATGTCTAAATGGATGTGTGCTCCAAACCATGTCTAAACAATGGAATTGTGTTAGCAATCGCATAAGGTCTGCCACTCACATTTATTGACCAGACCTAAATATTCACTTTAAAATATAATCAGGAATTCTAGAAGTAACTTTAATAAAACCTTTATCCATTAGTTTAAATATAAGCAAGTATTATTATAATCAATGATCATGAAGGTTCTAAATTTTATGTATGCAACAAATATTAAGACTTTCAAGCAACCAAGTAGGGAGTTACAAGACCATTTATAAAGATATTAAAAGAGGGTACCTGAGCAAATTTCAGGAAGGCTATTCTATACTTTTTGAGCCAAAATATTCAGCGAAATTTAAATAATAATGCAAGGCAATATGAGAGCAGGCTTTATAACATAAGTCATGAAGGCCTTTGTGGGTTTTATTTGTTATGATAACTGATAACCTCACACAAACTTATTTTAAAAAATTAATTTTTAACAAGTGAACTCCATTTAGGACATGAGTTTTTCAAGAGAGAAAAATGTCTTATTGGGAATTCCTCATTATCTTGTGAAAATAAGTCAAGAACAGAATGGTAACTTTTACCACCTCAACATTTCATAAGGGGGAACATAGTGTCACCCATGATAAACCACCTTCACATATAATAAAAAAGAAGAGAGATGTTGGAGGAAAGTGAGCCAGCCAAAACACTTGTAATCCTCCCTTACCACAGTAGAAAGTGAGCACCTGTGTGGAATGGTGAGTTTACTACACATTCCACGTCCCTCGTTCTGACTGCTACTTATTGTGTGCCTTTGCAGAACATGTAACTTTTCAGTGCTGTAGGGCTAATGTCAATATTCCCCGAGTATCTGTGCATTAATATGAAAGGTTGTGTATAGAGAGCTCTAGTGGCCTATGTGTTACATACATATCGGTCTACTAACTACAAAGGCAACCAGTAGAACCCGCCAGCCACCCCCTGGGAAGATTCACAATCTCAGAAACCTACTGAGCCAGGTAGGTATTCTGTGTCTTTTACAGCCACTGTGGGTTGAAATCAATCTGATGGCAGTGAATTTGGTTTGTTAGTTGGCTAGATTTTAGCACGTACAAACCAAGAGGAAGGAGGAGATGTTCCTGACCCCAGTGGTCAGGTAGAATCCTGTCAGGGAAGCCAGCCTCTCACAAATCATCACAGACCTGGCAGGCACAATTGTACAGTGATAATATGTAAAGATTCCAGTAAAGTCATAGAGAATAAGAGAGATAAGAGAGGAAGTAAAATGAAGGAGTCAGACACATTTCATGGTAGCATGCTCACCTCAGCTTGGTGGTCCACGTGGGAATGTGGAAGGTGGGAATGGCAGGAGAGAGAGAGTGATTTATTTCTAACCAAGGCTCATGTATCTTTTGGGGGCATGCAAGCCCTCTGATTACAGGTAAAGATATACATCACAGGAAAGGGTTGTACTATAG